TTTAGTTTTATGTTCTTTTTATACATGCAGGGCACCGTTGGGAGATGACTGCTCTTCTCTGCTATAGGTTGAGCGTGCCTTGTTATTCTGTTTCAGTAAACACGGGCTATTCTCTGATTTCCAATCACAGGTTTTTTTTTTTCCAGTTGTTGTGTGTTATGGAATGGTAAAAGTATCCATGCCACATCCTAAGACCAACCTGGATTCACAAATTATATTATTATTGGATTACCAAATGTAGACTATGATGCTGTTTGAATGGGTAAAAGCTAGTTTCTTCACACAGCCTTGTTCAGTAGTGAGACTGATTTTTAAGGTGAATTCTCACTAACAGCCTTATTTACTAAGAGTTTTGGCTTAATTGGTGATTCATAGTTGTGGGATGTCTGTTCTGTTTCAGAGGAAATTGAATTGAGACTGATCTAGATCTGATCCGAGACTGGCCTAATATTCATCTTTCAGACACAATAAAAGAGACAGCAGGAAACCATTGTGTTCGGACATGCTACTCGGTGTAGAGTGTGTGGGGAGATGTTCTTACATGGCGCAGGAAGCAGTGGCTGACGCGGAGTGGATGGTTACAGCAGCTCTCCAGCTCTTTAAGGAAGTACTGGCTGTGGAAGTCCACCAGCTTCTCCAGGTTGCCGAAGATGACGCTGCGCTTTCCCCGCAGGTCCTGGGGCAGGTCAGGACGTTCCATCTCGGGGAAGTAGTGATCAATGATGTAACTCAAGGAGCGCACATATTCACGCTCTGTTGTCACCATTTCATCAACAATGTGCCGCAGTTTACTGAGAGAGAGACCAGAAGAAAGTGAGGAGGATGGAGACTCATTAATGATGCATTATAAATTCATACATGCAAAACAAACAAAATGTGCTTTTAACAGAATGTGTCAACATCAAACCATGAGAAACTTTTCACTAAGGCCTTATTTTGAAGTTACACTGTGCCCTGGCATTGGTGAGAATTTAAAAAATGCAGACAAAACAAAGTGAAAACCCACAAAACAGCAATGATATCAGCAAAATACAAAGAAGTTTCAAGGTTAGTTTAATACAACGTGGGAACGAGTACGATCTGATAGCCACACACAGAGAACCTCATTCCTCTCCCTCCTCTGTGCTAATAAATGGCTGCGGTGTGTGAAGCGGCGGAAGACAAACGCACTTTACTGCACTTCAAAGTCCCCCTGCACAGCTCTCATCTGGGAGAGTCATCAGGGGCTTGGAGCTTTTTATCTCATGAGGATTAACGGGGAAGCAGGGGGCCCCAATGTGGAAAAGACATCTCTGACTAATGGAGAAGGTTTATGAGTCCGAGAAGCAAGTTTCACATAGCTACACAGAGTCCCTTACACATGAGTAAAACACTTACACACATGACTACAGCCTGCAAACAGGGCCATGATATTAACTGTGTTTGTGCTGGGGGTCCCTGTGCACAAGACTAAGACCAGCAAGATCACATCATTTGGGTGTGGACTACCATAAAACTAAATTCTTACCAATAACAAGCTGAACCCCAGTTCAGTTGATTTTCAGTCCCTACTATGAGTGTGTGTATGTTCCTACCTGCTTTTGGCACGTGGCTCTGGAACAGGACTCCCTGCACGGTGTGTATCCTGTGATGCCCAGTTGTGTGCTGGTGCTAGCCGCGAGTTGTATGGCCGATCAGTCCCCTCTGTGCTGCTCACCTCCAGGCCTTTTATAAACACACCCATGTGGCCCCTGCGTGCTGGCTCGCTTAGCGTCCGCTGGCACGTGCCATACCGTGTGCCCACCTCGCTTCCGGCAGCATCGAAGCTCTGAGTTTTCCTCAGAACCCTTCGCTTTGTGTCTCCTACAGAGGATAGCGCAGGGCTGGCAGAGCAAGATGATGAGTAGGCTGGGTAAGGAGATGCATCAGAAGATGTGCTGCGGGTGAGTCTGTGCGAGTTAAGGGGAGTGCTGTGTGGAATCTGGTTCTCTGTGTGACAGGGACTTCCTATTGGAGTCCTCAGGGAATCACGGGCATCTGAACGAGTGCCTAAAGGGCTGCAGGGGGTGGAGGAGAGTCTGTCACGAGTGCGGACACTGCTGAAGGCTCTCCTGCAGGAGAATGAAAGGCTGTTGCTCCGCTCCTGAGGTCCATGGGGGTTGCTGGCACCTGAACCGGAGTTGCGGGCACGCAGTACCGCCTCCAGCTTTTTCTCAAACATCTGTTTGGTTTCCTGGCACTTTGACCAGGCGAATTTCCACTGTTTGAGGCCCTGGTCGCTCTTTAACTCCACAGCGAGGTCCTTCATCTCTTGGAAGTGTGCATCGGGGATTGGCACATGCTGGCTGCGGTAGTTCTCCAGGCAAGCCATCACTCCCTGGCACTTCTCAGGCGCGCTACAGTCCTCCATACTCACACAAGCCAAGTGCCTCATGCCTTCCAGAGCCCATCCGTATGCCTGGCAGAGACACAGAGGAACATCAGCCATTATGGAATAAAAGCTCTATTTTCATGTAGACACAAGTGAAACACAGGCATAATGCTAACTTGGTTTGTCCTTAGTCAGTTTATTGTTCTGGTTTGTACTCAGTCGCTATTTTAACATGTGGAGCGGTGCAACAGAGGGAGTGAACTTTGTACGATATAAAATAAGATTGCTGCATTGATCCACCAGTGCACACTCGGTTTTGATATTATCCAATCACACAACTTGATAATGCATTCATTGTAACCATAACCCTTTCAATGACTGTTTCGCCAACACTGATTAGAATGGTCATGAAAATACCAAAAATATATCTGCACATGGCACAATTTTGTGTGTTATCCCCACAAATATGGGGCCCTGAGAGTCAAAAGGTTTGGAGTTAAGCAAAAGAATGGAATCTGTTAGGAAGCCTACAAGCACAGAAGAGACCATCTGAATGACGACTCTTTCTAGCTGAAGGTGGATGTGAGTGAATGTGTGTGAAACAGAAAATGAGATGAAAAAGAAAATGGAGGGAAAAAAATTCTCCACACCATTTTCATGTAAACTAAAGAAGTATTTATGGAGGAGCTGGGAGGTCTGGACAGTACAGCTTTAGCACATCAGCAGGAGAGCTAATGGGTGTAGCACTGTGAAACAGCACTCTTGTATTTAAGACACAGCTTCCCTTAATTACTTTTCTAACGCCTGGCTCTTGCACACTCCCTCTTTCACTGTCAGTACTGTTTTAAACAGGCACAACACTCAGATTGTGCTGAGATTTAAGGGAGGATTCACAACGATCAAACAGTCGCTCATGGCCCTGACCCTTTGACGTGGCAAAGCTCTGACAGATTCCTTAAGGAGGAGGGGGGGAAAAAATCCTTCACTCTTTTTTAATCTCCCTATGCATGTACTCACAAAAACCGCTTTCCCCTGTGCTCTGGCTGCTAGGTGATGTCACATGAACTTTGTTGCTCCTTTTTTTTAATCCATCTTCCTCCACAGTCTCCCTTTTCAGTAGAAATTAGTCCATCTGAGCTGACATAGGAAACCTTAGATATTCCTCCTTATTATTTTAGCTTAGTGCTGCTTTCTCTCTTCTATCTTACCTTGCACCCTTTGGATTGGGTGTCTACAGGCTAGGGTGAAGTTAATCTACTCATCAGCGGCGTGTGTGCGTTGGGGGGGGGGCTATGGTGAAGTAACAGGCACATACCAATGTTTGGAGGTGCTTGGAACCCAGATACTAAAGTCATCAGGCAGGCCAGAGGTCAGTTCAAACTAACAATACTGACTGCTAAAGGCTGACACAAAGTCTGTGTGCATGTGTGTGTGTGAGAGAGAGAGAGACCAAGAAGGAGGGGGCTAATCAATCTCTGCAATTCAAACACTAAATGGAATGAATTTACTTTAGCTAGGTGTATAACCTGCTGTTCCTTGTGACCTTCAGCCAATTTAATGATCATGATTAACACTCCAGGACACTGAATATCATAAACATAAAATCTCTCCGGCCCAACATTATTCATTCTACAAATCAGTTCAAAACACCATAAAGTGTGAGAGAAATGTGTCTTTCTGTCATTGTTTTTGCATTTAAGTCTCTTGAAAACAGAAATGTTCAGGAGAGAGAACTGTGAGGAACTCCATTTTCTCCCGCAGTTAAAAATAAATAAATAAATAAATAAATAAAAATCACCAACTGCTCACAGTGACAAAGCCACCAAAAGGCTCTATAGGAGCACAAAGAGGTCACAGCCTAGAGGCAAACTGTTTTTCACTGCTTTCCTGATCCAACACACAGAACTCAAATTAAACACTTTATATCAATGCAGCAATTCACTGGCTCTGATCGGGCCATTTTGATGCTTTAATGCCACAGACAGGCTGAAGATGACATCATGGTTGAGAGGGTTTAAGGCCCTTTGAAGTGTGAATAGTGTGTGTATGTGTGTGTGTGGTGGGAGTGTTTGATTGGTGAGAGCTGAATTAGAAAGCTTGAAGGAGGTACCTCTGAAAGAAGCACTATTCAACCTCACACAAAAGAGAGAGAGAGAGACACAGACATTCAGAGAGAGAGAGAGAGAGAGAGAGAGAGAGAGAGAGAGAGAGAGAGAGAGAGTGGAGAGGTGGAATAAGAACAGCTTATTCTAAGCTTTTGTATGCATGCATAAATGATACTCCTGCAGCGTAAGAAGGTCGAGGGGACATTTTAACACTTGAAAGAAATCTCCATTATTATTTCCTAAAAATAAAAGAAAAGACAAAAAAGAGGAAAGGCAGGGAAAAGCTCTGATCTCAGGTTCAAGCCATGCCAAGAATGTGTTTTTCGCTGAAGTGTGTGTGTCTTTCAAACACTATGTGCACGCACTTGGAATTTCTACAGGAGTTATTGCACCCTAACTTTCTGTGCCTTGATTCCTTGATAACGCCAGTCCAAAAACAATAAAACAAAACAAAAAAAAAATCACAGCCTGTCTCCATCAAAATGTAGATCACTAGCATAAGGCACTGAAGCCCGCAGCTCAAGCAGGAGTAATTACTACTCATGGCAGTGCTGGCTCAGTGCTTACAGCTCTGGACTACCGATCGGAAGGTTGTGAGTTCAAATCTCAGTACTGCTAAGCTGTACTGCTTTGGATACAAATGAGTAAGCATCTGCCAAAAAGAGAACATGTACTCATGTTTGGCCTAATCATGCCTGAAGGAAGTGGTGAGTTGTATGAGTTGTAAGCCCTGTGTAATGTTTCAGCTTACAATGATAATGTATTGGACTGACTTCAGAGTTCTCTCTATAAATAGACTGTCCTAGGCCCATGTCAACCTCTCACTAGATTTAGGTATGTATGGACGCAGCACACAACATGCCAAGCGTTCTCCAATTTAAGAACATTTAAACATGTCAGAACCCTATACTCCACGAGAGGGCGTTGTAGTGAGTTATAAGCTACAACTGCCAAGTCAGTCAAACACAAATGAAAGCACATCTATACTGTCACGTTAACATGAAACCAGAATTCCCAGTGAGAGAAAGAGCTCTGATATGCCTCTAATGAAGATTCTAGCACATTCTACAGCCAGAAGAATGGACAATAATAAAATAATAAAAAGCATTTTCTTCAAACTCTTTGGATGAATTACTGGAGTTGTGTTGCAAGTTGTACCTCACAATTTTTTCCACCATTTGCTATTCTGGAAAAAAACAAATCACAACAACCGATCTATAATATGCCAGTGTCTGGATGCTTAAGCATTTAAATGGCAGTGTCTAACATATTTAAGTGCTTTAAACATTTATTGTTTGAATTTTAATTCATGTTAAAGGACTAAATTATGAATTTTCATTCCTTCACATGTTAAAGGTGCACCATCTGTCATGCGACCACCCTGACTAAAAGAATGCTAATAGAACCAATGCAGAACTGATGGTGCCAATAGATCTGCACCTGTGTGATAGATAGCTTCTGCAGAATTTGATCTCCATCAGGCTGATTTTGGTGATTACGGATGCCTCCGATTTACATAACAGCATGTTTGACTGATGAACAATCTGTCAGCTGGAGGTGAATATTGTGTGATTGATGATAGTGTAAATCAGTGTGGTTACTGACTGGTGTGCACATGTCTTATTTTAGGATCTTTTTATTTTGGTTCTGTTCCTTGATGATTATCAAAGCTGGCCAATGAGGAACGTAAATAGAAAAGCTCAGCAGTGCCACACACGACCATCCCAAAACATTGATCTGTTTCAGAGTGTGTAAGTGCAGTTATATTGCTTATACAGAGATGTATGAACTGGAGGTCCAGCACAAACCACAGCTGTTCCAGTAAGAAAACCTAGAAAGGGTGAACCCTAAACAACCTCTAGGCACGGTCACACTCCACTGCTCTGCTCTCTGCATGCTCGGCTGAGGCTTTGGGATATAAGCATGCCCCTTGTATTTTATACATGTGTTGCTTGCCAGGACAGCCTGGCCAGATTTTTGAGAGAGGAAGACAGGAACAAACAGCACCTACAAATATTTGCATTGTTCATTTCCTGTGATCACATAGATAAGGAACAGATGCTAAGCATATAATAAGGTACAAAAAATCTGTTCCTAATACAAGTAAGATGATGATAGCAGGGTGTGTTCTCAGTACCATGTTAAGAATTCAGTCATGAGTGAACTGGACCTGAGCTGCCCTCTGACCTTTGTCACCGTCTCACAATGACAACAAACAGGAAATGAGACAGGAGTTAAACTTTACAGAGTATCTTTCCGTTAACCAAGAGGAAAAATCTATATATCAAAAATAAATAAATAAATTTTAAAAATTCCACACATTCCATATCCAATTATGCCAGTATAACACAGAACAAATTTCAGGCTCATAAAACTACAGGTGGTAAGAGTTAATACATACAATCATCTTTTCACTGTTTATGGCTTCACATATGGAAGTTAGAAAGTTAGAAATTTACACAAAGTAAATTAATGCCAATTACATCATACTTACCTAAACTATATAGTCCTGGAGATCACAAGGTGCATGTGTGTTTGTGTAAATACACTGTACAATTATTGTGTGTGTCTGTGTGTGGAGGGTATTTTTAAAGTGTGTTATTTGCCAGGGCAGTCTGTGTGACCCTCAGGCAGTGAGTCAGAGGGAGGGGTGTGTGTGCAAGTATAATTTGATTGGGTTGGGCCGAGGAGGGGGCTGGGAAGGTAAAGTCTGCAGAGCAGGCCAATAAGGGTACATTAGAGACATCAGAAACTCAATCTCTCTCAACCACACCCCTACACCCAAACAAAGACACACATAGGAATGTGTTATATTGATTTATCCTTGGGGGAATAAATAATTACGATTGTGATGGATAAGACAGCATCCCCAGATCTGATAGAGCGAATTTCTTCTCTTTGTTTACTGCTCCAGGAAGCTTCACTGATACAAAACATCTTGGAAGATGCATAAAAAGTTAGCAAATCTCATTCTCTAAAATGCCACTTGCATTTCCTACCAGTGCAGACGAGATTAGTCTGAGTTTCTGAGGGTCGTAAATCCTGCACATGCTGGCTCATTAGTAAGAGGTGAAGCAAGCACGCTCCAGTGATCAGTCAACATGTCATTAACAAGCCGTGCAACAAAACCTGCCAACCTTTTCTCACTCACTCGCCCTCCCAGAGCGACATGGCTGAGGGCTCAGGATCTCCTCACTCACACATTTGTTTACCCTCCTCTGGTTCTTGTCATTTAATGGGCATTGAGGTCCATGTTTTGTACCCACAGGTGTCCATCCCAGGCCCTGCTACTGTGCACACACATACACACACAAACTTGGGGACACCACAGTCAGTAACTACAATAGACTGGCAGGCCTAATTAAAAGCGCATGTGCTTGTTTTTGTGCTCTAGAGGCCAGTCTCCTGCTGGTGGTGTTTGGGGGTGGAGCAAAGGTACACGGGGGATTTTGGAGTAGTGCTGGGTGGGGATTTGATGCAGTGACTTTGTTCTGGGGGGTCTCTGCAATCAGACTGTGGCCTGGAAGGGGGTTGACATGCCTCAGGACCGGCGAAGCAATAAGACTAGAGGGCACGACCACTATGGAAGGTTTGAGGGAACCAGAAAAAAATCACACCTTCCTTAAGTCTCCTTACGCAGCACCAAGGACAAGCTAAGGCTAGCTGCCTCACATGGCACACAGAGAGCCCATAGATAGTAAGAGCTCTACCCAAGAGATTGGCCCGATCACTCTACCACCAACATCCATTTACAAATTCAACATCAATTATTCATAATTGCCCACATTTCCCATTACCTCATCACCCAAACAGCCTCAACACCAAAAGCATGTGACTCATCACTTATCATCATCAGCACACTGCTGGTTGCTTTCGAATATCTTCTATGAGTTCACTATATGTAAAGAAATTCTCCAGAGATTTTAACCCGAATCTCTATCCACATCAACACATATGGGGATTACCAAAAAACAAACAAACATGGATTTCCCATACATTTCCCAGCAATAGGTAAAGACCAGAATGCCTAAATGGAAGCTAAGCACACTGTTGCATGCTCATAAACCTTAAAACTTTAGATTCCAAACTACAATCATTACACTTAACAAGCACTTTGTCTTGACAAAACTGTTTTTATGTAGTTTCATATAACATTCAAAAGCACATAGTTTATATATATATATATATATATATATATATATATATATATACATACACACACACACACACACACACACATATATACATATACACACATATATATATATATATATATATATATATATATATATATATATATATATATATATATATAAAGAAATTCCAGTTATTTTGGCTTTCCTTATGCCAGACACTGCATCACTTCCGTATCTACTTTGAGCTATACTGCCTAGAAATCCTTCCAGTCTCTGAAAGAACAATTTTTTGAGCTTGATTTACAAATTTCTTTGAAGAATTCATGAAAGCGTTCTACACCTGTTTTGCCTAAATGTCATCACTTATCACTTCCCTTAGTTAAGTAAACAGGTTTTTCAGCGTACAGGGAATCGAAAAAACACGTCCTACTGATGCAGTACACTGAGATTGTTAGTTTTTTTTGTTTGTTTGTTGTTGTTTTTTTTTAAATATAAAGATCACGGTAAACTCTTGGCTAGTTTACAGTATTCTCCCGCTCAACACACCAAATATCTGCTCTACATCTGTAACTGACTTCAGGTTTCAAAGAAAACAAATGAGTGTCCTTGAAGAGAAACATGATAAATGATGTCAGACATTACTCCTCATTTAAACAAAACACGCAGAATCTCACGTTATCCTCTCTTTTGACTCATATTCTCCCGGAGTGTAACTGGTGTAAAGTAAACCACATTCTGGATAGTGATCTGACCAACACTGTGAGGAGTTACAGTGGGATAATAGAACATGTAAAGCTACCTGAGTTGTCCTTTTTTTAATCCCCAAAGCTATGTAACGTGCTGGTGTAAAAAACAAACTGAGCAGCATTCGCAGGGGAAATGCAGCGGTGACTTTCTCATGGAAACAATACACACCTTTGAAATAACACTGCACTTTGTATTGTCACAAATCTTACTGCTTATACAAAAGGCTTCCAGCAACAGACATTTCTCAGCCAGAAAAGAGAGAAAGGCAAACAGAGAAAGAGAGGGCGGGAGGGAGGGAGGGTGAGAGATGATTAGCAGAAAGAGAGAGTTGGTCAACTATCCATGGAAACCCACTGAGATCCATTCAGAACTGTTCCGCCAAGATTTCAATTAGCCACGGAGTTGTGTGACATGCAATCCCAGACAAACGTACACACACACAAAATTAATGTGCACTTGCCTTGTGTGAGGGTAAGTAAGTAAAATAAGTTCAAACACTCATATGATCATGACACACTTCTCAATTTTTATTTTTTACATACCACTTCAAGTACTACTTTCCAGACTTGGCACATGTCCTACCTCTGCATGTGCATATCCATTCTCCTGCACAAGTAAAATGCTGCTAGTTCCTTGTATGGAGCAGGGAGCAGCGGCAGTCATCCTTTTCTCCCTCCGTTTCCCTTTCTCTCTCTCTCTGAGTGACGGGCTTGCTGAGAGAGCGGGCCACTGGC